AAATATCTTCTATGTCAGAAATAAAAGTTTTGACACTGTAATTATCCCGAGAGGAAAAGGGTTTGATCAAATCAACAATGTCCTTTAAGCCAAAACATTGAAACGGAACAGTCTGTGTTTGCGGGTTAGTTGATACCAATAAATTTGCAGGCGCACTTTTCAAGAGAGATTTTTTGCCTCGATTTGTTTACATAAAGAGTCATCTGAAGCGTGATTAATGTTCTTTTGGGCGAACTTTGCACCAAAGCATCTTCTTCAAGGTCGCTGTAGTCAGCGGAATCTGATTTTAATAACGATACATCAGCAAGATTCGTATTGTTAGCACAGTTTTCAAAATCGGTGAAAAATTCTAAATGCAGTACGCTACATATGGCAATTAAATCCGCAAGAGAAAATTCTTTTATAATTTTTTGTTTCGTTTCTTCAAAGTTAAATGGTTTGGGAAAATCAGAAAAATTGCGTAACCTAGCACGATTCTGCCGATCACCATCTGAGCCAAAAACTAAACGATGTAAAAGCTTGATATGCTTTGTACTGGCAGTGTTTAATGACTATGCAATGTTGGGATAATCGTTAAGTGTAGCCATTATTTATCAGTTTCGTTTTAACCAAATATGAAATTCCACAAAATATGTATGTTTCGATTTGATCAAATATTATTTATCTGGTTTCAGAAATATTCACACCAATATAAATTCCTAATTTTTCTAATTTTCACAATAATATTAATTCTTTTTAGTATATGACACAATAACTATGATGTTAAAACACTCAAAAATCATAAATGAAATTGTGAACATATGATTCAAACAAATGGTAAGATATATCGTCAAACAAATCTTCATATAAGACTATGTTAAGAATGAAAAATAGAATTTCACGTTAAGATGTGATATCAAAATTAATAACTTAAAATAATGTTCTACAGTCCTTGTAAAATATAGGCATCACAAGAAATAAGAAATTTATGCACCAAATTCGAAAACGAAAGTAATTCTTCAAAGTAACTTTTTTAATATATCACAATTCTGTAAATAGTCAGTAATGGATTTTCATCAAAGTCAAATACCTGTAGTTTATTCAATTTAAACTTCATCAAAGCTGTTTAATTAATTATCATCAACATCAAATTCGAAAACGGAAGTGTTAATTCTTCAAAGTAATAATCATTCAAAAATAAATGAATTTTCATCAACATCAAATGCCTTTCGCTTCATCAAATAAACTTCATAAAAAGGCGTCATCAAATATTCATAATAACTTGAAAAGAATATTACTTCCTGATTAGCATTACTTCATCAAATAAAATTAGCTCTACTTACGTGCTGACGAATCACAACAACTGGAATCTTGTGATATTATTCCACAGCAGTCCATCATTAATAGCTATACTCGGAATGTTATATGGTAGTCTAGGGGGTTTAAAAAGTTTAAGAGAAGAACAGATTTTAGTTCAAGGAGTCGAAAGAGTTCGTGGGCCGAGCCCCCATGTAGGATGAGGTTAGGATTAAAATAGAGGAAGGCAGTGACATTTTAAGGGTATTTAATGATGAAAGAATAAACATGATTGCGGTACGTACATAGTGAAAAGAGATAAAAAGTTTGAATTGTCGTGAAACGGAATTACATCTTTTCGAGCGGCATAGTTCAGCTGCATCCATCACCGTGTTCTAACCTCATCAGAATGCAAGTCTGTCCATTTCCTCACACAGCTTGAAGAAGTATCTCGCTGCTGTCGCTGTTGCCAGATTTAGGAAAAGGCGGATGAGTTATAGGAGCGAATTACATTTTTTAACACTTCCCCTCGTCAATAAAAAAAAGGAACAATAATAATAATAAACTAGAAGAGAAAGTCACTAAAGGCCCATCTTATTACAAACAATCAACAGTCTTGGTTTAAAAAGAGGTTCAGTCATTATGTCAGCAACTTAGTCCTCTGTAGGTATCTGCTGCACAATGATTTGTTTTTCTAGAACTTTCTCTCATATGAAAAAGTGCTTGATATCGATGTGTTTTGTATGTTCATGATTTATAAAAGTTTAACTGCAGTAGTGTCATCTATTTGAATTACTAGAACTTCATGTAATTCTCCGCCATTACATAACATCACTAACTCCACCTGTAGATTTCCCTGTTCTTGACATCCTCCGAAATTTGTGTCACTATAGCACTCGAATACTCCTGGTTTGTATGTAATACCTTTAGAAAGAGAACCTGCTATGTATCTAATTACATGTTTCACTTTCATTGAATCATCTTTAGATGGCCTTTTAAGATGACGTGAAAGAATGCTGGCACAGTAAGCTAATTCTGGTCTTGCATCTAACATAAGATACGTTAAAGCTTCTACAGTTTCTCTATAGGGAAAAATTTCTGTGTTTGGCTTATTTTCCTTTTTCTTCTTAGTTAAAGTTTCTTCCAGGGTAGGAGTTTGACACTGGTTTGCAATCTTCTATCCCAAATTTTTGGAGAATTTTTTGCATAAGCTTGCTTGCTTACTAATTCTGATACTTCCATCTTCAAGATGCTAAATTCAAGTCGAAGAAAGTATACTGCTGGTTTAGTTGTGATTCGAAATCTCGACTGCAGTTCTCCAAGAAATTTTTCACATTCTTGTAGATGCTACCAAACCATCATCTACATATAAGCATATGGTTAGCTTCTTCGCATTTTTGTTTTTTATATATAAGCATGGATCTGCTTCACTCGTCTAGAAGCCAAGTTGTGACACAAAGTCTCCAAAATATTTATTCCAACACCGTGAAGCTTGTTTAGTCCATATAAACTTCCTTTCAGCTTACAGAGCTCATACAAACCATCACTATATCCTTCTGGTTACTGCAAGTACACTGCCCTCCAAAAGTTTTTTAGCAATTCTGTAATTTTTCTTTTACATTTTTCCATGCCATCAACAACTGTAGAATAGTAAAAATTTAGAAACGTGGATTTGTATTCTGAATTTAAGATATACATAGCCCTTTTAAAGAACTTAACCTTCTAAAACCTGGCTTAAATTCTCATAATATAGCCTTTAGGATGGCATGATCCAAAACACTTTTCTCCCCTCCTTTACTGTCCCCTAATGAGAAAAGTCGTTAGCATTTATCTCCTCCACAGATACAGTAAAATTTACATGTTTGTCAGGCACTGCACAATAGTCTAGAATAGGTTACTATATTTGCAACATTTTCGAGGTTTATTTTGATTTAATTTAAGCTAAACTGCATTTATTTATTAAGAACAAAGTGTATACAATGTTCATATAACATTTACTATTTCTCATCAATCTCAGTAATTATTTGTAAATTTTAAGTCATTGTTTCTACTAGAAATTAGTAATTAGCATTTGATAATCTTTTTTCATTAATAAAATAATAGTAATGAATAATTTAATGAAACAATAATAATGCATTTATAATAATATTCATTTCTATTAACTGATTAGAATATGATTCATTTCTATAGATTTTGAGATGAATTTATAGCAATAATTAAGCTTTAAATCTTTTTTTTTTCCATAGTTTTGTTATTGTAATATGAAAAAGAAAATCAGATATATTAGATGTGTTTGATTATTTAAATTTTAACAGATATTACTTTGGACTGTCTGGCAAAGGATGTATATCTGTAAAAAATAATTCTATGTACAAAATTGGATTTTGTTAATGTTAGCAGAAGAAAAAATTTCCAAATACCCATATATTCAGTCCATTTTATCTGCAGTGTGAAGCCTGGTGAGATAATTTCTTAAAACTTTGCATTTTTATAGTAGTGTTGACATTTACAATGTGGGAAATATTTTTTTATATTTCTTTCAGTGATCAAAATGATTACCCAGGAATATTTTCAAAGCAAAATTATGAAAATTGTTTATGACATTATTCAATTCATAAAGTTCACAAAGTATTCAATTCATAAAGTATCCTTTAATAATTCAATTCATAAAGTATTCAATTCATAAAAGTATCCTCTTATATGTGAAAAATTGGTATGTCAATTAAATTATCCATGGACCAATAATCTCAAATGCTTTTTCAATACGTCCCATGAGTAACACTAACCCAAAAAATTTCTGAAGCTCATCGGACGTAACTGCCGTCCAGTCGCTTTCATGCTTTCTTTTTCCACTTATATTTGGTCGCAACTCTAAAATTTGAGAAGCATATTGACTCGTTTCTATGGTTAAAATTTTAAACAATTCATCTGAAAAGTATAATTTAAAAAATCAACAGCAAGATTAGTTTCCGAAAATTAAGTCTTTATACCAGGATTACCACTAAAGGTCAATATGTTAATTTTATCATGCTCATTTTGCTGTCTCCATTCAAATAAATTATTAGCGTTGCTTTTGTAGTCATCGGCAACTTTATCTTTATTAAAAGATTGATTAAAACTATTTCTTCTGTATCAGAACAGTACAAATCTGTATTAGCAAAAGTTTCCTCTTCTATATCTCTTAGCAACTTATTAATTTCGTCCTGACCAAGACCTTTGAAACGAGGTGCCTTTATAAGAAGTGAATAAAACAACGATGAAAAACGTTACACTGAAATCACGAGAAAAAGCTCTAATGTTTGAAAGAGAGATAGCATTTGTTTTATTTTTAAGTACATTGGCACGAGATGAAACCTACGATCTTCGCCAAAATGTAGCCAACCAGCTAAGAAATGGGAAACAATGCATAGCCAAGGGCTGCTCTGAACAGGAAACTGGGCCACCTAGAGAATCTAAAGATAAAAGATTACTCGAAAAGGGGGGCAGAAACGCTGGTACAACACTTGTACCATAGCCGGCTTAAAAGCAAATAAATTTCATGCTACAATAGCTGTACCGCCGGCTTTAGAAAGTTAATTAGAAAACTAATGCTATGATGCGTTGTAATTAAGGAAACAAAAGTTAGTCTTTAAACCAAAATTATGAATTAACAGGCACATATTTACTGGTAGAACAAACTGTGTATTAATTATATAATTTAAAAATCATGGACCAGATATACAAACCTGGTTGTTGCAAAATGTTTGCCTCCAACATTTAGAAGCAGCCAGTCAGGATTTGTAAATGTTGTGCCAGGTACTGTAGCAATTTGCATATCATGTGGCATTGATATATAACATTTGCCTGCTGCTCTGGGCAAGGTATTTGATGAAGCTACAATTTAAAAGAATACATTGAGCATAAAGAAGTAGGTGGAGGGTTATAAAAAGTAAGCTATTAGAAATTCACAGTTAAGTCTTGATGCTTAAGTACAGATTTCCAAATCTGATATACGTACTATGAATTAAAATTTCAAATTCAGCATCATTACTTATTATTGTACAGTGAATCTAGAAATACTGACATAGAGTAAAATCTCATTTAACTATACTTTGCTTAACTAAAACAGTAAAGAAAATAACATCAAATCCAGCAAATTTGAAAATCATTCATTTTTAATAATAGAAACCTGTTGAAATTATTCACTTTTGTTAAAACTTTATAAACTTTCGCCCTTCAGTTCCTTCCTCTAGAAGCTTTCTTTTTCCTCCAGTTCGGTCACCCTTGAATACCTTCTTTTTCGCCTCTACCTGCGGTCTTGGCCGTTTGATGGCAGCTGGTCTTGGCGGAACCGGGACACTTCTCTCTCATTCCTGCTTGGACCTCGTTGCTGGCCGTTTAAATTTTCCTTGTACCTTTTCCTCCGCCGGTGGTGGTCCTTCCGCAATTCGGCGACATTTGCTGCGTAGAGTCCTGTCCGATGAGTAGATCTTCCGTTGGGAGCCGGGTTATAGTTGCCGTTATTTCTCCTGGCTTTCTTTGCATTCGTCGTACTTCTCCCTTCTTCATTCTGGGGGTGGTCGTGCTTTCTCTTTTCTGGTCGGTGGAACGGCTTCTTTTTCTTGTTACCTTCAATTTTCCAACGGGGAAACTTTCTTTTCAATTGCTCCTGCCTCCTAATGGCTTGCCCTTGTACTTGTCGTTGTTCCACCTCTGGAGCTTGTGCCTGCCGTGCCGGATACTGCAAAAGGTCTTTGAATATTTGCATTTTATTACGATCATAGTATGGTTTTATTTTGATCGATGTTTGCGGAGCATGTTTCACCATTCCTGGCTTTTTAACACCACTACAGCGTGAGTTATTTTTTCTATGACATATGGTCCTTCAAATCGTGGAAAAAATTTGGCGGTTTTTTTATCTTCTGGTGCTGAAGAAAGTGAATGCTTAATTTTTAATACTTCATCTCCTACTTTATAAGTTACTACTCCCCGTCGTTTCAAATCATAATAGAGCTTTTTTTTTTCTCTGTGCTACTACTTCAGTGTTCTTTTTTGCTTCTTTAATTAATTTTTCTATATCACCCATTTTAAATTCTGTGGCTCTTTAGTTGAACATAAAATAATTTATCTAACGGCGTTATAATCTTTCTGCCTAAAAATAACTCAGCAGGAGTTTTTGCCCGTTGTATCATGTTTTGCGGTCCTAAGGGCAAAAGCAAATTCATTGACATAGTTATCCCAGCTTTTTATGAAAATTTTTAACATAACTACGGATAATTTTCACTATATTTCTATTGACCCGTTCCGCTATATTTGATTGCGGCCGATACGGGACCATTTTTTAAAATGACGTATGCCCAGTTTTTGGCACATGTCTTCAAATATATTACTTACAAATTGAGGACCATTATCCGATATAACTTTTAGGGGTGCCCCGTATTTTAAAATATATTTATTTAAAATAGAATCAGTAAGTAATTTCGTGGAGGCTCGTTTTAAGGGAACAATTTCGGTCCACTTACTAAAATGATCAACCATAACAAGGAGATAGCGACTTTTATTTAACTGACTTTTTGGGAAAGGGCCCAATAAATCGATGGCAATTATTTCATTTGGAAAATCGGATTTAATACTATTTAGAAACCCGGCCGGGCCGAAATTAATATAATTAACTGCTTGACATGTTGGGCAGGACTGGACATACGCCCTTGTTAACTTTTGCAGTTCAGGAAAATAGACTACCTCGCGTACGCGTTGGATAGTTTTTCGAATACCAGCATGAGAAGCTAAAGGGCTGTCGTGTAACTCCTGCAGGATATTTAATCTAAGACTAGCTGGGATAACAGGTCGAAATTCGTTGTTAGTTTTTGTATAAAATAATAGACCATCTATTAGTTCGTAATGGGCCGCCCTATTTCTTATCGCCACAATATCTTGGTGGCTAAAATTTTCAGGATCCTTTAAATACTCATAAATGCTTCCAAACTCAGGATCCTTACCCAGTTCGGTTATTACAGTTTCTCGGGAATTTATTGTACATGCTGTGAGCATTGCCACCTTTACAGTATTACCTTCTTCATCTATTTTTATTCTGGATAGGGCATCTGCTACGATATTTTCCTTTCCGGGGGTATGCTTGATTACCAGATTATATTCTTGTAGCTTGAGTGCCCATCTTATTAACCTTGGGGATAAGTTTTTCCCTGAGTACAATCTAGTTACCGCCGCATGATCAGAATACACTTATATTGGCGCTCTTCCAAAATAGACTCGGAACTTTTGCACTGCTAACAGAACTGCAAGTGCCTCTCTCTCGGTCGCGGAATAATTTCTTTGTGTTTGATTTAAAGTTCGACTAAAAAATGCCACGGGCTGCTGATTTTGCGAAAGTACCGCTCCTACCGCATAATCCGAAGCATCCGCTGAAGTTTCTAAATTCTCATCCTTTTCAGGAAATTTCAACACAGGGGCTTGCGTTAATGCTTGTTTTAATTTTTCGAAAGCACTATTGGCTTCGGCCATCCACGAGAATCTTGCCTTTTTCCTTTTTAATTTTAACAATGGTTCAGCAATAGCTGCAAAATCTTTTATAAAGGACCTATAATATGAAGTCCTAGAAAAGAAGAGAGCTTTTTAGCCGTATTTGGTGGCGGATACTTTTGCACAGCGATTATTTTTGATTCGTCTGTCTCGATTCCTTTCTGAGATATTTTGTAACCTAAATATTTTAATTCAGGGGCTGCAAATTTGCACTTTTCGACATTAACTTTTAGACCAGCCTCATTTAATAAAGAAAACACCTGTCTTAAATCCTGTACATGTTGGTCGAGATTATCACTAGTAATAATGATATCGTCTAAATAGATAAATGTGGACTTTCCAAGAACAGGCCTTAACACAATGTCCATATATTGCTGAAATGTTGCCGGTGCCCCTGAAAGGCCAAACGGCATACGCAGGAAAGCATAAGTGCCAGACTTGGATATAAAAGCAGTCTTAGGCACGTCCTCCGGTCTAACCCCTATTTGAAAATAACCAGTCGTTAAGTCTAAAGTCGTCATATATTTGGTAGACGTTATGTTCCTTAGAATTTCTTCAATAATAGGTAACGGATATACGGGATATTTAGTTATGGAGTTTAATTTACGATAGTCAATCGCGAATCGCCACCTTTTTGGATGTGTCAATGGATAGTCATTGTTTTTCTTACATAAAACCACCGGGCTAGCATAACTACTTGAGATGGGCGTTATGATTTTTTTACGTAGCATATCAGTGATATGCCATTCTATAATTTTTTCCTTATTCTTATCATACCGGTATGGTTTTTGGCGAACTGGCATTGAATCTCCGGTGTCAATACTATGGTTAGTAACTTGAGTAAATCCTGGAATATCACTAAATAACGAAGCAAGTACACTTACCACTTGTCGGATTCTTTGTTGGCAGGTGATCAAGGTTTAACATTGGCGGTTCCGATTTTTCTTCTCGAACTGGTTTCATCGTCAGCTTAAGGGACGCTTCATTAAAATCCAGCTTTGCTTCTGCCTCTGAAAGAAAATCCATCCCTAAGATAATATGTGCTTGCAGATTCTTTACTATAAAAAACATAACCTTTACTTGTTTGTCCTTGATACGAATGTATAGTGGTAATTTACCTATGCACTTACATCTTTCTCCTTGCGCAGCTAACACTGTCGTATTATCCGAATTATATATGCGGTATTTCCGAAAATACTTCCTAAAAATATCTTCTGCCACACAGGAACACTGCGCGCCTGTATCCAGGAGTGCGGTGGCTGGGATGTTATTCGCCAACACTTCAATCTTCGGAAGAGTCAAATTTTTCACCATTACTGTATTTAACTTGAAGGAAGAGGGGTTTTCTTGGCCTTCGGATTTCCGCACCCTCCCGTCAGCAGAAATCCGTTTTAGTTTAAATCCTTCTTTTTTTTTCTTTCCATGCTTTCCTTCTTTTTCCACTGGCCTTGAGACTTTTTTTCCTGGATTGCTATTGAACTGTCGACGTTCGCCGGCTGTTTTTGGATGCTCGGGGTTTCCTTGCCCACTGATTCGCTTTGCTTCCGTAGCCGTGATGCTTGACTTTGCTGTGGTCTTGGCTCACCAAATTGGTTTCGTTGTTGATATTGGCGTCTTCTTTCAATGTCCGCCGTTCTTCTACTTTCAAACTAGATTGCTAGCTCAAATAACTTTTCCAGTGTAGTCGGATTCCTTAATTCAATAAAGTCTTGTACTTGGGGAAGTAAACTCGGCAAATTCACTTGAATTATCTCAGGATCCGGACGGTTTCCATACAAGAGTTTGAAGACGTGAATTTTTCTTAAAATAAAGCTTGAGAGATTTTCAATTCGTTTCTGGTATATGCTGAAAAGTTCCGCTTCTAATTTAGCATGATCCCTTACGACAGGGAAGGCTTTTACTAAGGCAGTCTTGAAATTTTCGTAAGTATAGGTGGGACTTCCCGCTTGACCCAAGAGACTTCTGCCTATGCATTTGAACCAATTGAGCGCTTGGCCCCTCAAAGCGCTGGTAGCTAAGGTGACTTTTTGGAACTCGTGCACGGGATACATCATGAAGCGGTCATCTAGTTTTTCCAAAAAACTGGTTCCCGGTGAGAAATGTTGCTTCTGGTTTCAACATCATCGCTGCGCGCATGGTCTGGACGATGTAACCAAATCCTTCCAGGGCGGCAGCTGGCATTTCTGGATTCTGAGCCGCTTCTGCAGGCAGCACAGGTTTTCTTTCTTCTTGAAACTCGGCCATGGTTATTCTTCTTCGTCGGGCGCCACTATCAGGTTCAGTGTTCCGCCTTACTTGCTTGGGGAACATTCCAGAACCTGACTCGGAACAGGGAGCTTACTAAAGCTATGTTC